CAAAGCCTTAAATGACGTCATATATTTCACAGGGGCTTGGGTAACTGGATCTTTTCTTCTCCCAAAAAAGCTTTTGATGCAAACTGAATAGCAAAGACCCTATTTTGATGGATCATGTTTGCTTTCCCAAAATGTTCCTTAAACATCTAAGCTAAGCCTAGGCCATACTACTTGCAACTAACATATGCCTTCATACTTACGGGCTGTGTCTACACTGGCATGATTTTCTGGAAATGCTTTTAATGGAAAAGTTTTCCGTTAAAAGCATTTTTGGAAAAGCGCGTCTAGATTGGCAGGACGCTTTTCCGGAAAAGCATCCATGGCTAATCTAGACACGCTTTTCCGCAAAAAAGCCCCGATCGCCATTTTCGCGATCGGGGCTTTTTTGCGGAAAACAGTACTATGCTGTCTACACTGGCCCTTTTGTGCAAAAGTCTTTTGGAAAAAGACTTTTGCCCGAACGGGAGCAGCATAGTATTTCCGGAAAAGCACTGATGATTTTACATGAGATCGTCAGTGCTTTTCCAGTAATTCAAGCAGCCAGTGTAGACAGCTGGCAAGTTTTTCTGGGAAAGCGGCTGATTTTCCGGAAAAACTTGCCAGTCTAGACACAGCCACGGTGTGTAGCATAGTCATAAATAAGTCATTGTTAACAATAACAACCTTACATTTCATGGAAAACGGTCAACCTAACCGGACTAATCTCGCAATCAAACATTCAACCTTCTGTGTTCTGTCTTCTAGTATATACCCGGTGTTCCTGTACAAGATTAAGTGACATTCTGCCTCATGTTTGATAAATAATTACTGCATTTCAAGATATAGATGCTCTCATTCAGGCCTCTGCAGTCTTTGCACAGCCAAAATTCCTATTGAGGCTAAGGAGCCATTAGTTATCCAGTGGGGTGAGCAGGATCAAGCCCAAACTTTGCTAAATGGGAATTTTGCAATTGATTTCATTGGGAGAAGGAGCGGGCTGTAGGTAACTGAAGGAAGAGCAGGCACAGCAGATGAAAGGGCATCTACCGTATGTGGCTGGGAAAAGATGGAAGCAAGAGTTTATACTGTTTCTGTGAATCATGTTCTTGTTTAAAGGGAAGGTTTTACTCATGTTGTATAGCTTTGGTGCATATAAGCTTCAAATTTCAGATGCAAGCTTATGCAAGTTCATTTTTTCAACCTTTCATGCCCGATAAACAATCAAACACATAGGCTGTGTCTAGACTGGCCAGTTTTTCCGGGAAATCAGCCGCTTTTTTGGAAAAACTTGCTAGCTGTCTACACTGACCGCTTGAATTTCCGCAAAAGCACTGACTTCCTACTGTAAGAAATCAGTGCTTTTTGTGGAAATATTCTGCTGCTCCCGTTTGGGCAAAAGTCCCTTTTGCGCAAAAGTTTTGTGCAAAAGGGCCAGTGTAGACAGCTGAGATTTGTTTTCCATAAAAAAGCCCCGATTGCAAAAATGGCGTTCAGGGCTTTTTTGCAGAAAAGCGCGTCTAGATTGGCATGGACGATTTTCCACAAAAGCGCATCGTTATAACGCGAACTCCGCGCCAATCTAGACACTCTTTTCCGAAAATGCTTTTAGTGGAAAACTTTTTCGTTAAAAGCATTTCCGGAAAATCATGCCAGTCTAGACGTAGCTATACATTGCTGTTTGCAAGTTGACGCTGGTTTAAAAATGCAATGTTTACTACCCAGTTTAATCAGAAAAGCTACCTGTGGCCTTAAGAACAACCAGCATTTTTCCATTGTGATGTAAGAATGAATAATTAAAGTCATTCTAGATGGGGCTTGTAAACATTAAAGTACATCACCTGACCTTTATTGATTTATTCCAAACTTCTGTACTAATTTTAGCAGTCCCCCAGTGGTTACAGCATAGGTCTAGCAGTCGGGAACGCTAGGTTCTCTTGGATCTTATCACAAACCTACTGTGAACCTTGTCACTTAGCCTCTTTCTCAGTTTTCCTCATAAATGAAATGGGGTTAATTTTACCTCCTGGGATTTTGAGAAGCTTCGTGAGTGTTTGCAAAGTGCCTTGAGACCCTGGGATGAATGGAGCTGTATAAATTATTCATTCTGCTCTCGTTATATGATACTTTTACTCCGCTTAACGAACAGAAGTTCGGCATATGCCTTCAGGATTTGTTCAATCACATGTTTAAATCTTTGCTTTTAGGACTTACTGCAAACACTTTGAATTTCATTATGCATTTGAGCTACCCCATGTAATTATTACACTGAGTATAAGTTCATATAAAATACCATGAAAAAAAAGATCCATAATAGAAATAAGTAAACCTAGGAGTCAATTCATTTTCTTCAGAAAATAGGTCAAGACAGTTTGAAAAAGAGAAAAGAAAAGAAAGAAAAAACATAAAAACCCAACAGCTCCCCAAAGATTTGTTAACTAAATAGGTGCCCATTAAAGAGACCAAATATTTCACAGCATTAGTCCCAGGATAAATGTTAAATCGATATTCACTAACGCAATAGGGCAATAGTTACCATGGTGAATAATTCTATATTTATTTCCAAGCAAGCCTTTTTTCTAGCAATTCCAGACATGGTTTCCACTTTCTGGCGACTAACCTCTTAATCCACATTTCTTTTCGTTTTTGTTTTTTTAACTGTTTGGTGCTAGGGATTCCAATCTGCTCCATGCCAGTTATAGCAAGTGCTGTGGCATGATAAAGGAGAATAGTGATGTGCAGAGAGGCAGCTACATGTCAGTTTCAACTGCGTTTTGCACTTGTAGAGCACCATCCTTCTGAGGAGCTCAGAATAGAGGAAAAGAACTATTCACCCTACACCACATTCCTATGAGCAGAGGTCAGAGAGTGGGGGAACACTCTTCATGTCCCACCCAATTCCCCAGTGGTTCTCAACTAATCTACTTGTCTACCCATCTCAGGCACTTATTCCATATCCATCAGCATAGTTCATCCATGGTGACTGTGGAATCTTATTCTCCTTCCCTCTTCTTCGGGTGGATGCATCTCTGTTTCTTTCTCAGACTCTCCCTCAGCCATGTTCCTCCTTTCCTCCTGTCCCCTGGTGGATACTGCTCCATCTCTCACCCAATTGTTCCTGTTCCGTCATTCCTAGCAACTTAATTCCAGCCCTATGTATGGTGGGATTAAAAGATAAAAGGGGGAAAACCCCTCTATAATATAGTCAATATAAGGGTCCAGTGTAAACAGCCAATTTAGATGGAAGAAGACATTTCACAGCTGCCTTGTAGTTAATGCTTTATTCTGTCTCACATTGGCCTAGGTCACATAAGGAAAGTTTTCTTCACAACGAGGAGTGCTAGAAAGTCCACTTGTTTTGATTTGTAATGACAAATTGTACTGAAGCCTTCAGAATGTTACTTCAATCTGTTCATCTGTTTTGGTCCCAGTACAACTCTCAGTGAAATCAATGGAAAGACTCCAACCTACATTACATTTGATGGGAAGCATGGGTAGGAAATATAATGATGCCACTAACAAAAAATAAACAGCCTCAGAATTCATGATTTCCACGTTGAAAACACTTTACTTTCTTGCTCTGAAAAAGCAAGACTAGCAACAACACAATGATAGTATGTAAAATAAAACAGCACTGGACAAAGTCCTTTCAAATACAGAAGCATAAACTACAGCTGATTTTTCTCAATAGAAAGACAATCACATGGATAGAGAAATGGAAGGCGAACAAAGGTGGCACTTTGAAAATCTGAAATTGCAGCCAGCATATCAAAGTTAAGTTTTCTAGCTCTTTTGGTGAATCAGTTCAGTTTTTCTGAAAGCTTAGTGCACACCTTTTAGACAGGTTTGCCTTGAGGGTAATTTTTGGGGAGCAGTTTAGATACCCAATGTATGTACACATTTCATATGTGAAGCTGGCCGCATTAGATGATCCTACATTATCTGTATAAAATAACTTATAGTCAAAACTTAGCCAGAACAGAATGATACATTTACATGCCTACATGGAGCACTATGGCTCTCACTCCATGTTTCATGACCCCTTGATGCATATAGAAAAACAAACTCAGAGAAATCCAGATTCTGTTGTTCTTGCTGACTAGACATGTTCACAAGTATATTGTGGTGTCTTAAAAGGAGGAGCAGAAGTATCTTATTGAGGAGCAGGTAGCTATCCTTCAGTTGCCTCTCTCCTGCACTTTGAGATGTAAAGAAGCAGATTCCCTGCTCAGGTGAATTGTCAGCAGAACCTTGCGTGGACACAAAATTGGTATCTGCATCTGCAGAAAGGATCCCTGAATAGCTGCAAATTTGTAGGTGTGACAGGGTGCCGAGACCCCGCACCCAAAGCCTGGGAATCTGTGCCCTCGCAGAGGGGCCGCGAGGTGCATACCAGCTGTGCGCCAGTTGTTCCCGAGCTGCGGCTCAGCTGAGCGGCGCGGCGGCCCAGCCGATTAGCGCTGTGGCTCAGCTAGAGGGACGCTGCAGCGCAGCTGAGGCCGCCTTAATCCCGCCGGTGGAACAGGGCGGGGTGACGCGCCGCGTCAGACGGCGTGGGGGCGGGGCGCGTAAACCCCTCCTGGCGCGGCGGGGACTTTAAAAGCCCGCCAGCCACCTGAGGAAAGGGGGGAGAGAGACGAGGAGACTGGCCGGACTCGCTGAGAATTGGAGGGACCCGGACGCACTAGTGACCATCTCCCCAGGGCATGCCGACGCCGTGAGTACAGATACCCCGGAGGTGGGGTGGGAGAGGAAGGAAGCAGCCCAGGGCAGGGCGGTGAAATAGCCCGTGGGCTGGTGCGTTTAGGGGCACACCCTGCCAGCCGGACCGAGACTAGAGCACAGTCTCAGTCCTTAGGGCCCTGGGCTGGGGCCCATGAGTGAGGGCGGGCCTGGGCCCCCCTTCCTTCCCCCACCTGAGGGAAAGGCGAAAATAGTAGGACCTGACGTGAAGAGATAAATTGACCGGCTTGGAGAACGGTGGGGGCGGGGCGCGTAAACCCCTCCTGGCGCGGCGGGGACTTTAAAAGCCCGCCAGCCACCTGAGGAAAGGGGGGAGAGAGACGAGGAGACTGGCCGGACTCGCTGAGAATTGGAGGGACCCGGACGCACTAGTGACCATCTCCCCAGGGCATGCCGACGCCGTGAGTACAGATACCCCGGAGGTGGGGTGGGAGAGGAAGGAAGCAGCCCAGGGCAGGGCGGTGAAATAGCCCGTGGGCTGGTGCGTTTAGGGGCACACCCTGCCAGCCGGACCGAGACTAGAGCACAGTCTCAGTCCTTAGGGCCCTGGGCTGGGGCCCATGAGTGAGGGCGGGCCTGGGCCCCCCTTCCTTCCCCCACCTGAGGGAAAGGCGAAAATAGTAGGACCTGACGTGAAGAGATAAATTGACCGGCTTGGAGAACGGTTGACTGGACCCCAGACCAGACCGAGGGAAGGGACACGGTCACAGTAGGGTTTTTGCTACAAAATTTGTATGTTAGTTGCTAAAAACGAGCTGCAGATATCCACAGCCATGGATGAGGATGCTTGTGGATACAAAGCGTATATCGATGGATCTGCAGGGCTGTAGTTGTCAGTGTTCCATGGAACTCCATTTCATAGCTGACAATTTGTGCCCGCTGAGGATCTGCCTCGAGAAGTCTTTATCTGCCTGCCTGATGAGGGTCAAGGCTAGGAATGAATTTTAGGTGGAGGCTCTTACAAAATGAAAGGCTCACTTTTGTCTCTCTCGTGGAGACCTTACTGGTTCTTTCTTTGATCTCAGAGGAAAGCCCAACACAAATTTTGAGAAAGGGTTTCTACATTAGGGATTTTTGCATCAGGGTAAGTTGCATTGGGTCAGACTAATTCTACACCTCTACCTTGGCACTGGGGGTATATCTTCACTGCAGTTAGCCAGGCTCTTACCCAGCTGTTGCCTCTAACCCAGGAGCAATAATTTTTGATGGGGGATCACTCCAAGATTTTGGTAAGTGGTCAAGTGCCACACTTTTCTATGGAGAGGATATGGGGTCTGTGATGGAGGTTGTGTGCAGGATTGAGCGCAGGGTAGGAATTGGAGGGCAGCTGAGGGTGTGGGGTCTGAGAGGGAGTTTTGGTAAAGGATGGGGTTGTAACCAATGTTCCCTCTAATTTTTTTCCATCCATGTATGGAATACATTTTTTTACGTGCACTAAGGCATGTGCAAATGTGCACCACAAATAAAAACACATGCTGGCAGCTGTGGCACTCTGCCAATCAGTTGGACGGCACCTGAATTTCTCCGGGGCAGCTGCCCAAGTGCTCAGCTTACAGGGAACACTGGTTGTGACCTGGGGCAGGAGATTGCGGTGCAGGGTATGGGATGGGCTATGGGTGCAGGAGAGGATTCTGATCTGGAGGAGAGGTTTAGGAGGCGGTGCAGGATCTGGGAAGGTGTTGTGACTTGGGGTGAGAGGGTGCAGAGAGTTTGGGTGTGGTGACCAGTGGCAGGAGGGGGTGGTGACCTGAGGCAGGGAGTTGGGATGTAGGAGGGGGTGGGGTGCCAGAGGCAGACTCTGACTGGGAGGTGCTTACCTAGGTGGCTCCTAGCCAGTAGGCAGGCTTCCTACCTGCCAAAGCCCCAGGCTCCTCAAAGTGGCTGCCTACTCCATGTACCTCTCTCTGTGCATGGGGGAGGAGATTTTGAACGTTGCCCTTGCCACCAGCACAAACATCTCAGCTCCCATTTCCCCTTTTACTTCTTCCTAGCTCTGGAATAGCCCTGAGCTCCATGCTCTCCAGCAAGTACTTGCACACCCATATTAGGGCTGCTAACTCTCCCAGCAGGACAGACCAGATGCCACTGCTGCAAATGGCATCTGGTCGGGAAAGCTGGCAACCCCACATAGGTGCTGTAACAGTGGGAGTGCTGCACCCACTGGCTTCAAGCAGTTTACAGTTTGGTTCAGTGGCTCTCAGCACCCCTCACTGTACAAATTGTCAGGCTACTGACTCCCACAGAGCTCTTACACCTTGGAGTGAGGAGATGACTGGGAGTCAGAGGAGTGCAAAGAGTTCAATTATTTAGTGACCCGAGAAGCGTGGGAGAGCAGTGAGGTCACTACCTGAATTAGTAGTTCTGTCCACGGACATAGGTGTCCACAGGGCCACTCAAACATTTTAACTGTCTCCAAGGCAGAGCTAAATTTGAAATAATAACTCCTGGATTAGCAAAATTGAAATAGTGTGTCCCCCACTACGGGGGAGGCTCAAAATTAGTCCAAGGCAGGCTCTGTTATTGTGGACACACTACCTCAACTTGGAACCCCAGGAAGCACTGGGGAGTAATTACTTCAACTTACTCTAGGGAGTAGTTATTTCGAAGTAGCAGCAATGGAATGTCCACACTTCCGCTGTTTCAATATAACTGTTTTGAAACAAGCAATGTTCCTCATGAAAAGCGGGAGTTATTTTTTCAAAATAACCAGCTCAGTATTTCAAAATAACGGGCTGAATAGTGTGGACGCTCCACTTATTATTTCAAAATAAGGGGGGTTATTTCATAACTCCCTAGTATAGACGGGGTAAAAAAAAAAACAACAGGGAAATTACACTGCTTTCACTCTCTATTGCTGGGAGATTGATATAAGTGTGTATGCATCCCATCCATTCTCTCAAATAAGGAGAATTTCAGGCATATAGGTTTTGCGTAAAGGCCCCAGTATGCTGCGTACCCTGCTTTGCACACACAAGCAAAAATAAATAAATTAGAGCAAATGCAATTTATTTCTATTTCAGCTGCTTAAAGATGACCAAATATTTCAAGCCCCTCCAAGAATGTCCCTCATAAGGGAGTTAACAATGAGAGTCAAAGGTTCTGAATATGTAGTGTGTGTTCTTCTCCTATTTCAATATATTTCATCCTTTCACTCTATCCTTGGAAATCAGCACGTTTTTGTGGGAAAGGACAAGTTTTTTTTTTTTTATCTACCCACAGAAATACACAAAATATTTAAAAATATAACCATGGTGCAGTACAATCGTAACTATCCACTGCATCTTAGAGGATATGCACTGCTGCTTTAAATGTTTCCAGACCCCCCAAGAGGTGGGTTCCAGACAGGGTTTGATGTCATTCACAGACAGGCGTTTCTGTGTCACTGCATGTAAATGACACCACCACTCAGCCAATCAAAAGTAGAGTTGCTTCAAGTGAAAGTTTCCACTGGTTACAAGGGAGCTAATCAGCAAAGAGAAGGAAGGACCCAGAGATCCAAGTGGGTTTTAAATCCACGTGGTGGAGCAGGGGGAGGAGGTGTCTGCGCATAGACACAATTCATTACCCTTGCAATCAGAGGCTGTTGTAAAAAGGGGCTGCTAACCTCCGTTTGACCCACTGCTATCACAAAGGAGTAAACAGCTTCTCCTTCTCCCTATGCTAGACGCATTAAAAGAAACAGACTCTGCACTTGTTCTGCCTCACTGCAGAAGCTGCACCTATGTCTCTGTCTATGAAGCAATGGAAACACTTCCTAAAAACGGTGTTGCTTTGTACCTCTGATGAAGTTCAATTTAGGCATAGTTCAGTCTCCTTGGTTGTTTTTTTTTAAAGAAATGTATTCCTCCTATTATTTAAAATGCACATATCCATGTGGATACTCCACATCTCCATATTCCAACATAGAAGGGAGAAGCAAACATGTTGCACTCACAAAGAAATGAAAAAAAGCTATTTTCAAGATAAATTCATCGGTATTCAAGCCTAGACAAAGGGTTTGTAATATCATATTTCTGTGTGTGATTCTAATAGGATCCGATCCTGAGTCATGACTGACCAGAACCTACTAGAATAAAATCCATAACATTTAAGTAGATAGTATGATTGTAATATCAATACAAATACCATGGGATAATATCAGACATAAGGAGCTTTTTTTTACCATATAGGCTCTGGTCCTGCAAGCCTTATAGAGGGGAGTAACCTTACAGATGTGAATAGACCTGGTTTAATGATTCTATTCACCTGTGTCAAGTAACTCACATCTCTGTGCGCACATGCATCCGCTTCCCCAAGGAATTTACATACAAGCAAAATAGCCTGATGCAGAAACACACCCAGGATTACATTTTCCTATGCCACAAAGACTCAAGTGCTTCTTGTCAAGAGAAGGGCTGATTCCTAGTGGCAGCTATGCTCATTTTGCAGGATAGGGGCCCTTGTGGGTTGTAAAAGGCTAAACCTTAATCAAATGCAGCATTGTTTCTGTGTGAAGACGCAGCACCAGGTCCTCAGGTGGGCAAATCAGCAAAACTCTTGTCTTCAGTGGTGCTGAGCTGATTGACACTGGCTGTGGATGTGGCCCTTATTTTTTAAAAACAAGTTTCAGACATTCTTTGTGTTGGCCACCAGACTCCTTGTTGTTTTTGCTGAAAGAGGCAAACAGGGCTACTGAAACCTGTTATTCTTTACATTACTGAGTCTTCACACATACATAAGCACTTCCCAGCGATTACCAAATAACACAGCTGAGGAAGTGAGTGGTATCTCACAAAAAGCTTATGCCCTAAAAAATGTATTAGTCTTTAAGGTGCCACTGGATTCTGTGTTGTTTTTACCAAATAACACAGCTCTTAGTGGCTATGGAATGCACTGTACCATGTTATTAAACCTGAAAAGCTTTCGGGGGTGACAAATTCTTGTGTAAGCCTCTAGCTTAAAAACAATTCACTCTTGGCACCTCTGTCATAACTAGGTGCAGAAGGTGTCTACTAACCCCTCCAAAACATTTATGTGGGGCCTGATTCTGCTCCCAAAAAGTGAATGGCAAGGTTCCTTAGAGCAGTGGTGTCACCAGAAGGGCCCACTTGGGTGGGTAGGAAAGAGTTGGGGGGGTGAGATAAGAGAAATGGGGGGGCATTCCCCAGCACCCTGGCCCCTATCCCCAGCTGGCTAAGCCCCCATGCTCAGCTCCCAACTGGAGCGAAGGGCAAGTTGTGGGGGGGTGTCATGGGTACAAAGTAGGTGGGTCACAGCTTCAGCTGGAACAGATTATACCTTTGAATTCTGTTTTCTTTTAGTCTCCTCTTATTTCAGACCCTCCTCAATTCTACCTGGTGCATTTTAACAGCATGGATTAGGAATCTCATTCTATACTAGATGGATCTGGTAACTTGCTCAC